AAATCTGGCACTAGACAAGGATGCCCTCTCTCACCACTCCTATTCAATATAGTATTGGAAGTTCTAGCCAGAGCAATCAGGCAAGAAAAAGAAATAAAGAGTATTCAATCAGGAAAGGAGAAAGTCAAATGGTCTCTATTTGCAGATGACATGATTGTTTATTTAGAAGACCCCATCATCTCAGCCCAAAATCTCCTTAAACTGATAAGCAACTTCAGCAAAGTCTCAGGATACAAAATCAATGTGCAGAAATCACAAGCATTTCTATACACTAATAACAGACTAACAGAGAGCCAAATCAAGAGCTAACTCCGATTCACAATCGCTACAAAGAAAATTAAATACCTAGGAATACAACTAACAAAGGATGTAAAGGACCTCTTTAAGGAGAACTACAAACCACTGCTCAACAAAATAAGAGAGGACACAAACAGATGGAAAAACATTCCATGCTCATGGTCAGGAAGAATCAATATCGTGAAAATGGCCATACTGCCCAAAGTAATTTATAGATTCAATGCTATCCCCATCAAGCTACTAATGAACTTCTTCATTAGTAGAACCAGAAAAAAACACCTTAAATTTCATATGGAACCAAAAGAGAGCTCACATAGCGAAGTCAATTCCAAGCAAAAAGAACCAAGCTGAAGGCATCATGCTACCTGACTTCAAACTATACTACAAGACTACAGTCATCAAAACAGCATAGTACTGGTACAAAACAGAGATACAGATCAATGGAAGAGAACAGAGGCCTCGGAGGAAATGCCACACATCTACAACCAACTGATCTTTGACAAACCTGACAAAAACAAGCAATGGGGAAAGGATTCCCTGTTTAATAAATGGTGTTGGGAAAACTGGTGAGCTGTGTGCAGAAAACAGAAACTGGACCCCTTTCTGACACCTTACACTAAAATTGACTCCAGATGGATTAAAGACTTAAACATAAGATCTAACACCATAAAAACCCTAGAAGAAAACCTAGGCAAGACCATTCAGGACATAGGCATAGGCAAGGACTTCATGACTAAAACACCAAAAGCATTGGCAACAAAAGCCAAAATAGACAAATGGGATCTAATTAACCTCCAGAGCTTCTGCACAGCAAAATAAACAATCATTAGCATGAACTGCCAACCAACAGAATGGGAAAAAAATTTTCAATCTACCCATCTGACAAAGGGCTAATATCCAGAATCTACAAAGAACTAAAACAGATTTACAAGAAAAAAACAAAGAAACCCATTCAAAAGCAGGCAAAGGATATGAACAGACACTTTTCGAAAGAAGACATATGAGGCCAACAAACATGAAAAAATGCTCATCATCACTGATCATTAGAAAAATGCAAACCAAAACCACAATCAGATACCATCCTATGCCAGTTAGAATGGTGATCATTAAAAAATCTAGGCCGGGCACGGTGGCTCAAGCCTGTAATCCCCACACTTTGGGAGGCCGAGGCAGGTGGATCACAAGGTCAAGAGATCAAGACCATCCTGGTCAACATGGTGAAACCCCGTCTCTACTAAAAATACAAAAAATTAGCTGGGCACGGTAGCGCGTGCCTGTAATCCCAGCTACTCAGGAGGCTGAGGCAGGAAAGTTGCCTGAACCCAGGAGGCAGAGGTTGCGGTGAGCTGAGATCATGCCATTGCACTCCAGCCTGGGTAACAAGAGCAAAAACTCCGTCTCAAAAAAATTTAAAAAAAATCTGGAGATAACAGATGCTGGAGAGGATGTGGAGAAATAGGAACACTTTTACACTGCTGGTGGGAGTGTATATTAGTTCAGCCATTGTGGAAGACAGTGTGTTGATCCCTTAAGGATCTAGAAATAGAAATTCCATTTGATCCAGCAATCCCATTACTGGGTATATGCCCGAAGGATTATAAATCATTCGATTATAAAGAGACATGCACATGTATGTTCATCGCAGCACTGTTTACAATAGCAAAGACCTGGAACCAACCCAAATGCCCATCAATGATAGACTGGACAAGGAAAATGTGGCACATATACACCATGGAATACTATGCAACCATAAAAAATGATGAGTTCGTATCCTTTGTAGGGATATGGATGAATCTGGAAACCATCATTCTCAGCAAACTGACACAAGAACAGAAAATCAAACATCGCATGTTCTCACTCATAGATGGGTGTTGAACAATGAGAACACGTGGACACGGGGAGGGCAGCATCACACATTGGGGTCTTTTGGAGGGGTATAGGGGAGAGACAGTGGGGGCTGGGGAGGTTGGGGAGAGATAACATGGGGAGAAATGCCAGATATAGGTGACGGGCGGATGGAGGCAGCAAACCACATTGCCATGTATGTACCTATGCAGCAATCCTGCATGATCTGTACATGTACCCTAGACCCTAAAGTAAAAAACAAAAAAAAAAAAACTGAAGTATTTTCATATTGCCTATCCACATCCTCCCATACACTTTAAATTATCTCTAGATTACTTATAATACCTAATACAATGTAAAAGCTATGCAAACAATTATAGTGTCTTTTGTGTGTTTTTTGCGGGGGTTGGGTTTTTTCTTTTTTGAGACGAAGTCTGTCGCCCAGGCTGGAGTGCAGTGGCACGATTTCAGCTCACTGCAACCTCTGCCTCCCAGGTTCAAGAGATTCTTGCTGCCTCAGCCTCCCAAGTAGTTAGAATTACAGGTGTCCACCACCATACCCACTAATTCTTTTTTCTTTCTTTGAGATGGAGTTTCACAGTTTTGCTTTTGTTGCCCAGGCTGGAGTGCAATGGCATGATCTTGGCTCACCACAACTTCCGCCTCCCAGGTTCAAATGATTCTCCTGCCTCAGCTACCCAAGTAGCTGGGATTACAAACAGGTGCCACCATGCCCAGCTAATTTTGTATTTTTAGTAGAGATTAGGTTTCTCCATGTTGGTCAGGCTGGTCTCAAACTCCCGACCTCAGGGGACTCACCTGCCTCAGCCTCCCAAAGTGCTGGGATTACAGGTGTGAGCCACTGTGCCTGGCCAAATTTTTGTATTTTTATTAGAGATGGGATTTTGCCCTGTTGGCCAGACTGGTCTTGAACTCCTGACCTCATTTCATCTACCCTCCTTGGCCTCCCTAAGTGCTGGTATTATAGGCATAAGCCACCAAGCTCAGCCCTTACTGTATTTTTATTTTAACTTGTGCTACTTTTTATTATTTTATTCTTGTTTTTTTTTCCTTCAAATATGTTCCAACTGTGGACGATTCTGTGGATGCAGAGCCCACAAATGCAGAGGGCCTACTGTTTCAATGCTTACTCTGTGTCAGGTTCCATGCTCAGCATTTTTTTTTTTCTTTTCTTTTTTTGAGACCGAGTCTCACCCTATTGCCCAGGCTGGAGTGTAGTGGCATCATTTCGACTCATTGTAGCTTCTGCCTCTCTGGTTCAAGCAACTCTCGTGCCTCAGCCTCACAAGTAGCTGGACTATAGGTGCGTGCCACCATGCCCTGCTACTTTTTGTATTTTTAATAGAGATGGGGTTCATCATGCTGGCCAGGCTGGTCTTGAACTCCTGGCCTCAAATGATTCGCCTGTCTAGGCCTCTCAAAGTGTTAGGACTACAGCCATAAGCTACTGCGCCTATTTTAAAAATAAAATTAAAAATTTTAATTTTTAAAAATTTAAAAATCTTTAAATTTGTTTGAATTTTTACTGCCATTTGAGTATCATTCTTTGTTAAATAGCTTTATTGAGACACAATTTACACGCCATAAAATTCACACATTTTAAAATGTATATATTTTATCCATTCCTCAGTTGAACGTTTGGGTTATTTCCAGTTTTTGGCTATTATGAATAATATTGCTATAAATATTTGTGTGTAGGTTTCTGTTGATTTTTTTGATTCTCTTGGGTATACACCTAAGAGAGGAATTGCTGGATCATGTGCTAACTATATGTTTAGTACTTTGAGGAATTGATAAACTGTTTTCCAAGGCGGTTACACCGTTTTATATTACCACCAATAATACATAATTCCATTTTCACATCCTCACCAACCATTTGTCCATTCTTGCATCACTCTATAAAGGAATACTCGAGACTGGGTAATTTATAAAGAAAAGTGTTTTGGCCAGGAGCAGCACCTCACACCTGTGATCCCAGCACTTTGGGAGGCCAAAGCAAGCAGATCACTTGAGGTCGGGTGCTTAAGACCAGCCTGGCCAACATGGCAAAAAGCCATCTCTATAAAAAAATGCAAAAACTAGCCAGGCTTGGTGGCACATGCCTGTAATCCCAGCTACTCAGTAGGCTGAGGTGAGAGGATTGCTTGAACCCAGGAGGTGCACTCTAGCCTAGGTGATAGAGTGAGACCCTGCCTGGAAAAAAAAAAGTTTTAATTTGCTCATGGTTCAGCAAGGTGTACAAGCATGGTGGCAGCATCTGCTCAGCTTCTGGTGGTGAGGTCTCAGGGAGCTTTTACTCAGGGTAGAAGGCAAAGCAGGAGCAGGCACGTCACATGGTGATGAGAGAGAGAGTGGGGAGGTGCCACATGCTTTTAAACAATCAGATCTCTGGTGAACTCAAAACTCATTATCTTGAGGACAGCACCAAGCTATTTATGACTGATCCATCCCCATAACACAGCTCCCATCAGGCCGCATCTCCGACACTAGGAATCACATCTCAACATGAGATTTAGAGGGGACAAACATCCAAATGACATCACCAACACTTATTATTATTATTTTTAAATATGTAATTGCTCTGTTTTATTCCAGCTTACTTTAAAAAAGCTTGCATTAAGAAATATCTATAAAAATATTTTTAAGTGTGTAACATAAATAGAAAAGTATAATGGTAGTACTATATTAATAGGTAAAGGGAATAAAATTATATAGGATTAACATTCCTATAAAAAGCCAAAACAGAAAAATTATTCAACAAATTAAAATAGATGAAAAATATTCACTTAGAGCAAAAAACATTAAAGGTGGAATAAAGAATAAGATATATGCGACAAACACACAAACAGCAGTTGTAAATTCAAACATACCGATTCTAACATTAAATGTAAGTATTAATCAATGAAATAAAGACAGAGACTATACACTGGATATTAAGACAGCAGCAAAGACTGAGATTTTTACTACAAACTACAAAAGTTTTTGCATCCAAAGAAAGAGGATAAAAGGGGATTAAGAATTTGTAAACAGCTATCGTAAGACGGCTGGAGTGACTTACTTACTTATAATATTATAAGTATTATAATACTTATAATAATTAGCTTGAATTGTAGAAGAATGTGGCTAAACAAACATTTCCACTGATTATCATCTCCTTGGAAACACCAAATTTGACAATTATCTATAAAAGCAACTTTATAAGAACACAAAAATCAGGTGAGTCATCACAGTATTTGGTTTTAATGTCTTATTACTGAAAAAGGCATAAAAAGAGTAGAAAATACATTCTTGAATTGCCAACACCACCCCTCCCTTATTACCTGGCAGTGGCCAGATGGCTTAAAGAGAGAATCTGTGCATTGGGAAAGGGAGAGTGCAGTGATTGTGAGACTTTGCACTGAAACCCAATTCTGCCAACACTAGGCAAAACTTAGTTGATGCTAATGGAAGGGGCATTTATACCAACCTTAGCCAGAGGGAAATTGCCCCTTCCAGCAGTCAGAACTTGAGTTTCAGCAAGCCTCACCATCATGGGCTAAATGGCTCTGGGGTCCTAAATAAACTTGAAATGCTGTTTAGGCTCCCAAGACCGCAACTCCTAGGCAAGTACTAGTGTTGTGGTGGGCTCAGAGCAAATGGACTTGGGTGTCATGTGACTTAGTAAGACATTAGCTGGGACAGCTAAAGGAATGCTTGGATCACACCACACCCAACCCCAGACAGTGCAGCTCACAGCTCCAAAAGAGACCCCTTCCTTCTGCCTGAGGAGAGAGGAAAAAAAAAATAAAAAGGACTTTGTCTCACAACTTAAATACCATCTCAGCCAAAGTAGAATAGGGCACTGAACAAAGTTATGAGACTCTCATTACAGACTCTAGCTTGCAGACATTTCTAGAGACACCCTAGGCCAGAAATGAACCCACTGTCTTGAAAAAAAGACCCAGTCCTAGCGGTATTTATCACTTGTTGACTACAGAGCTCCTGGACCCTGAATAATTAGCAGCAGTAATCAGATAGAACACACTAAGGACCTTGAAGGAGACTCAGATATACAGGCTTCTGATGTAATCCAGCATATTCACAGTTTGAGAAAGAGAAAGGGAAGAATAAAAGAAACTTTGTCTTGCAGCTTAGGTAGCAAGTCAGCCACAGTGAAGGAAAATACCAAGTAACCTCTCAAGATTCCTGATTCTGGGCTTTGGTTGTTGAACAGTATTTTGGGACATATGCTGAGGCAGAAGAAAGCCCAATGCTTTGAAGGGTGAGTCCCAGGCCTGGCAGCATTCACCACAAGCTGACTGAAGAGCTCTTGATCCATAAGTGAATACCGGCAGGACTCCCATGGGCCTGTGGTAGTGGTGAATACAGGGAAAGACTCCTTTGCCTAGAGAAAAGGGAGAGAAGAGTAAGGAGAATTTTGCTTTGTAGCTTCAGTGTCAGTTCAGTCATAATATAATACAGCAACTGGTAGAATTCAAAGGTGTTCTGACTCAAGATATAGCTTCTGGAAAACATCTCTGGAAACACCTGGAATATAGAGAGACTTGCCACCCTAAAGGGAAAATCACAAAATTGGGTGACTTTACCACCTGCTTATTGTACTATAGCCTTGAGCAAGCATAGGCAGTGGCCAGGTAGTGGTTACAGCAGGCCTTCAGTCTGACCCAGCACAGCACCAGACCAACACTTATTGTTATCTGACATTTGATTATTACCCTTTGTTGCCATATAGTAGGAAATGCAGTATTTATTGTGCCAACTCATTGCTTGAAGGGACTAAACTCTTTACCTTCTGGATTTGAATGGCAACTATTTTCTCCAAGAATATTGCTGTATTTCATTTCATTTTATTTTTTTATTTCGAGACATGATCTGGCTCTGTCATTTAGAATGGAGTGCAGTGGTGCGATCTTGCCTCACTGCAACCTCTGCCTCCTGGGGTCAAGCTATCCTCCCACCTAAGCCCCCCAAGTAGCTGGGGTTACAGGCACACACCACCACACCCAGCTAATTTTTATATGTTTTGTAGAGATGGGGTTTCACCATGGTGGCCAGGCTAATCTTGAACTCCTGGCCTCAAGTGACCACCCACTTTGACCTTCCAAAGTGCTGGGATTACAGGTGTGAGCACCTGGCCTACAGTATTGCTACATTTTACAACATGACAGTCAGAGCTTCCAGGTAGCTGAACAAGCGGAGTTTCCTGTATGGTGGTGCACTGGGAAGGGCATGAAGGCTCCACATCCCTTATGCATCTCTTCTTCTGTATCCTTTGTAATATTCTTCACAATAAACCAGTAAACATAAGCTAAATATGTGATTAGTACTATTCTTCTTACCCTGGGCATGAGGATTCACTTCAGTCTCCCTCTGCCAATGATGAGAGGCTGGCTGATCATCTGTGTGCCTTTGGGTTCAGTCATCAAGTGTATAGTTTATTTATTTATTTGAGCCAGAGTTTCACTCGTCGCCCAGGCTGGAGTGTAATGGCGCCATCTCAGCTCACTGCAACCTCATCCTCCTGGGTTCAAGCCATTCTCCTTACTCAGCCTCCCCTGTAGGCTGGGATTACAAGCATGCACTAGCATGCCTGGCTAATTTTGTATTTTTAGTAGAGACAGGGGTTTCACCATGTTGGTTACACTGGAATGGCCACCATCTTTTCAGCACCAGCTTTTGGCTCCTTGACCCACAAAAGGGGCTACTTGATGCTGCTCTAATGAGAAGACATCTGTCACCACACCCTCTTATTACTGTATTTGGGGTGTGGGTTTGGGGGAAGGGTTGCAATGCAGTTCCACGAAAACAATGCGAAGTGAGGCAGGGAGCATGAAGTCCAACTCTGCCTGCAGGAAACACAGTATCTCTTTCTCCGCTGTGACCCTGCTTAGTGTCCCTTACCTGGCTTAGCACTTTTTACCCATTTCTGAGTTTATTGCCCTCAGAGTTTTTAGAATAAACAGGGCTGGACATGGTGGCTCACTCAGTATTGAGAGGCTGAAGCTGGTGGATCACCTGAGCTCGGGAATTCCAGACTAGCTTGGGAAACATGGTGAGACAGCGTCTCTCTCTTGCTCTTTTTTTTTTTTGAGACAGAGTCTCACTCTGTCACCAGGCTGGAGTGCAGTGGCACAATCTCAGCTCACTGCAACCTCTGCTTCCCGGGTTCAAGCGATTCTCCTACTCAGCCTCTCGAGAGTTGGGACTAAAGGCACACACCATGATGCCGGGTTAATTTTTATATTTTTAGTAGAGATGGGGTGTGGGAATTAGCAAGTTCCTTTTTAAAGTTTTCTTTCTTGTTAAAGAATAAGTGTGCTAATAACTTTGTTAAGCCCTATCCTATATAGTTGTTAGACATGCTGTGCTTACAGGCACGTAGAACATTATAGGTCCTTGTACTTTAACCGAGATATCTCTCTGGATGTGCTCACAGGCATGTCCCAGCTCTCCATTGCTTTTACCGGTTTAGAAAAGTTTTAAGTTGTTAGCCAACCAGGTTCTAGTTTAGATTGTGAGGTCTGGCTCCAGCCAACGGAAAACAGACACAGCAGTAAGGACAACCCCAAATGAGTAAGGAATACCTTTATGTGTGTTCCCTTTGTTCTTTGTACTCTCATGGCAGGATGGCTACCAGGAGTATCGTTCCTGCAGTCCAGGAAGTAAAGATTGCATTGCTGAAAGATCCTTTGTCTCAGTGCTAATTTTTCTTTGCGGCACCAAAGAGCTATTTCCAACATCTATTTCCAACACGGGGTTTCACCATGTTGGCCAGGATGGTCTCGATCTCTTGACCTCGTGATCAGCCCACCTTGGCCTCCCAAAGTCCTGGTATTACAAGCCTGAGCCACTACAGCTGGCCTCTATTTTTAAAACTAAAAAAAAAAAAAAAAAAAAAAGGAATTAGAATAGTTAAACAGGTTTGTTTAAGGTCTTTGCCACCCCACAACATGGTTTGCCTATGCACAAACAACTAGCATTTTCCTACTTCTGTGGATTTGTGCTCGTCCTTCCTCTTACCTGTAACATCCTCACCTTCCCAAGTTCTAGGCATTTGTCCTTAAGAATCCTGTATTCTTGTAGCTGGAAGACATTACAGACCACCTAGTCCTTGCCTTTTGTTTTCAATTTGAGCAAACTGAAGCTGACAACTTAACTGCCCAAGGGTTACAATAAGCCATGGGTGTCTGGAGGATGAGAGCTTGGGCTCAGTGCTTTTCCCACCCCCTCGGATGTATTCTCCAGTTGCCCTCCTTCACTCCCTGTCACAATCACTGATGGCCTCCCTTTGTGTGGTTTACTCTGTGCTAAGCTGTCTTGCGATACTCAAATTCTCCTGATTATATATCCTTAAGTCTTGATGTCTTGTGCAGTGTGTCTCCAGTCAATTTTCTTTTTTTTGAGGGTAGAAATCTTGTCTTTTCTTCCTTTTGTGTGCTCCATTATGTCTTTTTCTTTTCTTTTCTTTTTTTTTGAGACAGAGTCTCACTCTCTCGTCAAGGTTGGAATGCAATGGCATGATCTTGACTCACTGCAACCTTCACCTGCCAGGTTCAAGTGATTCTCCTGCCTCATCCTCCTGAGTAGCTGGGACTACAGGCACATGCCACCGCGCCCAGCTAATTTTTATATTTTTAGTAGAGAGGGCGTTTCGCCATGTTGGCCAGGCTGGTCTTGAGCTCCTGACCTCAAGTGACCCACCTGCCTCAGCCTCCCAAAGTGTTGGAGTTACAGGCATGAGCCACCACTCCTGGCTATTTATTTATTTATTGAGACAGAGTCTCACTCTATTGCCCCGGCTGAAGTGAAGTGGCTCAATCTCTGCTCACTGCAACCTCTACCTCCCAGGTTCAAGCAATTCTCCCACCTCAGTCTCCCTAGTAGCTAGGACTATAGGTGTGTGCCACCATGCCCAGCTAATTTTTAGTAGAGATAGGATTTCACCATGTTGGCCAGCATGGTCTTGAACTCCTGACCTCAGGTGATCCACCCACCTCGGCCTCTGAAAGTGCTGGGATTACAAGGATGAGCCACCATTCCTGGCTCCATTATGTCTTGATACAAAGGTCAGTACAGACTGACCTTTGGGTAATTAAAGATAAAAGTTGACAAACTGGAAAATAAAACATGACAATCATATTAAAACCACCATAACTGGCTAGGAGAGGTGCCTCATGCCTGTAATCCCAGCACTTTAGGAGGCCGAGGCGGGCGGATCACGAGGTCAGGAGATCGAAACCATCCTGGCTAATACTACTACCAAAACAAAAAAACAGTAGTCGGGTATGGTGGCAGCTGCCTGTAGTTTCAGCTGCTTGGGAGGCTGAGGCAGGAGAATCACTTGAAACCGGGAGGCGGAGGTTGCCATGAGCTGAGATGATGTCACTGCACTCCAGCCTGGGTGACAGAATGAGACTCTGTCTCAAAAAAACAAAAAACAACAACAAAAGAACCACCACTGTAATCAAGAGTGTATTTCCATCTGTCTACAGTGATGCTCAGGAAAATAAGCAACAATTGTATTTTTACCTGAGTGTAACCTAGAACTACCAGTGAGGATCACACCACCCTGGGTCAGCCTGTCTTTAGGAGAGGAGGTAAGAAATCATCCAGTATCTTGTGACTGAAATAGGGTTCCAGTAAGCTACATGCTCTGGAAACAAAACCTCTCTATCAGCTCTTGTTCCTAGTCACTGCCATATCTCATAATAATTGGCCCTTGTCTACTGGCTGCAGGGGAGCACTAGGTCATGGAGGAGGGGAACTGTAAGGCAGCTAAGGCCACGATTGTCCTGTATTTACTATTAAACAGTCTTCACAGTGACAGAACTGGCCATTTGAGGACAGTGCTGACCCTGTTTTTCCCCTCCAAATCTCATGTTAAAAAATTTTTTTTCTTTTGTCTTTTTATGAGACAGAGTCTCACTCTGTTGCCCAGGCTGGAGTGCAGTGGTGTGATCTCGGCTCACTGCAACCTCTGCCTCCTGTGTTCAAGTGATTCTCGTGCCTCAGTGTCCCGAGTAGCTGGGGTTACAGGCGCACACCACCATGCCCGGATACTTTTTGTATTTTTAGTAGAGTCAGAGTTTTGCCATCTTACCCAGGCTGGTCTTGAACTTTTGACCTTCAGTGATCTGCCTGCCTCCACCACCCAAAGTGCTGGGATTACAGGCATGAGCCATTGCACTCGGCCAGGACATTAATAGATTAAAGAAAACGAGGTCCGGCTTGGGGGCTCACACCTGTAATCCCAGCACTTTGGGAGGCTGAGGTGGGTGGATCACCTGAGGTTGGGAGTTCGAGACTAGTCTGACCAACATGGAGAAACCCAGTCTCTACTAAAAATACAACATTAGCTGGGCATGGTGTCACACACCTGTAATCCCAGCTACGGGAGAGGCTGAGGCAGGAGAATCGCTTGAACTCAGGAGGTGGAGGTTGCGGTGAACTGAGATAGTGGCATTGCATTTCAGCCTGGGCAACAAGAGCGAAAAGCACTAAACTCTTTGGAGGGACTGTGTTAAGATTCTCCAGAGAAACAGAACCTATAGGAGAGATACAGAAAGAGACTTACTATAAGGAATTGGCTATGATTATGGAGGCGGAGAAGTCCAGAGACTAAGGCAAGGCAGTAGCATAGTTCAGGGTGAGTCCAGTGCCTGATAACCATGAGCACCGATGGTGTGAGTTCCAGTGTGAGGGCAGAAAACCAATGTCTCAGCTCAGACAGGTGGAGAGAGCAAATTCCTTTTTGTTCTGTTTAAGCTCTCAATGGGTTGGATAAGGCCCATCACATTCAGAAGGGCAATCTTTTTTACTCAATCTGTTGATTCAGATGCTCACCTCATCCAGAAACACTCCACAGAAACACCCAGAAATAATGTTTAAATATCTGGCACCCTGCAGCCGAGTCAAGTTTGCACAATAAATCTAACAATCACAGAGCCCTCTTCTCTCCTGATCATCACCTCATTTGCATATCTACTCACCATTAGTCACTTTTACCTTTAACCCAGTTTTCCCACCCACTAAACTACAACCTTGCCTTTCTGTATGTATCTTCTATATCTATTTACAGTTTTTTTGTGTGTAACATTGACAATGTCTGTATATGTGTTTGCTTTGTTGGCAACCAATTTAGAAGAAGCAAATGTTCTATTAAGAACACAATGTAGGCCAGGCGTGGTGGTTCACGCCTGTAATCCCACAACTTTGGTAGGCTGAGGCAGGCGGATTATCTGAGGTCGGAAGTTCAAGACCAGGCTGACCAACATGGAGAAACCCTGTTTCTACTAAAAATACAAAATTAGCTAGGTGTGGTGGCACATGCCTGTAATCCTAGCTACTAAGGAGGCTGAGGTAGGAGAATCACTTGCCGGGAGGCAGAGGCTGCAGTGAGCCAAGATTGTACCATTGTGCTCCAGTCTGGGCAACAAGAGTGAAACTCCATCTCAAAAAAAAAAAAAAAAAAAGAACACGTTGTAGGCCAGACTTATATCTATAATCCCAGCACTTTGGGAAGCCGAGTCAGGCGGATCACGAGCTCAGGAGTTTGAGACCAGCCTGGCCAACGTGGTGAAACCCTGCCTCTACTAAAAATACAAAGTTAGCCAGGTGCGGTGGCACACATCTGTAGTCCCAGCTACTCCAGAGGCTGAGGCAGGAGAATCACTTGTATCCAGGAGGCAGAGGTTGCAGTGAGCTGAGATCGTGCCACTGCATTCCAGCCTTTTTTTGAGAGACTCTGTCTCAAAAAAAAAAAAAAAGAACACATTGTATTTCAGTGAGAAGCATCGTTATTAGGCCCAGGTCTCTTTGGACTTATTATTTTGAATTTATTATAGATTTATTTTTTATGGATTATATTTCAGTAAGAAATAATGTGCTAGTGTTTCCTGATTATACTTAACAGGTTCTAGCTTTTATTAAATAGTCTCATAAAATGACACCTCTCAAAGAATATTCATGAAAATTTTAACCTAAAAATTATCTTTTTTAAATTTTGAGACAGAGTTTTGCTTTCGTCACCCAGGCTGGAGTGCAATGGCACAATCTTGGCCCACTGCAGCATCCACCTCTGGGGTCAAGTGATCCTCCTGCTTCAGCCTCCTGAGTAGCTGGATTACAGGTGTCTGCCACCATGCCCGGCTAATTTTTGTATTTTTAGTAGAGATGGGGTTTCACCATGTTGGCCAGGTTGGTCTCGAACTCCTGCCTTGGCCTCCCAAAGTGCTGGGATTATAGGCGTGAGCCACTGCACCTGGCCAAACTTTTTTTTTTTGAGACAGAATCTTGCTCTATTGCCAGGCGCCAGGCTGGACAGGCTGGAGTGTAGTGGCACGAGCTCGGGTCACTGCAACCTCCACCTCCCAGGTTCAAGTAACGTTCCTGCCTCAGCCTCCCAAGTAGCTGGGACTACAGGCTCGTGCCACCATGCCCAGTTAATTTTTTTTTTTTTTTTTTTAATGTAGAGACGGGGTTTCACCCATGTTGACCATGATGGTCTCGATCTCTTGACCTCATGATCTGCCTGCCTCGGCCTTCCAAAGTGCTGGGATTACAGGTGTGAGCCACTGTGCCCGGCCCCCAAATTATCTTTCATCTAAGGGCAATATATCTCTTCCTCTTTCCACAGTCCTGCCTGAGCCCATAAAATTGAATACAGCTCATAAAATATTGAGGGGAGAAGAGGGTTGGCCATTTTGTTTCCCTCCCTCAGCAAGGGAGTCTGTGTTCTGCAGGCGTTTCCTGGGGGCATCTGCCAAAAGGCAGGACTGGAGGAGCTCCATACTGTGTGGCTTTCTTTTCTGTGCATGGTAAATGTGCTCTGTGCATTTGGCTTTTCCTATAAGCTCATCCTGAGTTGTGCTTTGGGGGAAAGAGGGCATTTTATTTTATCTTCCAATCCAATCTATGTTTTTAAATCTAGCTTTACCACTAATGAAACAGATAATCTGTTTTCTTAATTTAATTCAAAATCCGGAGATGGAGAGTGTGGTTAATTGGTACTTTTGAAACCCCAAAACTTCACAATATAGATACTGATAGGAACCTAATAATGAATTTGGTTGCAAATTGCTGATGCATATTTGTGACATACATGCATGTATTTTATCTATCTGTCCACCCATCCCTGTTTATTTTTTTTAATTTAATTTAATTTTTTTAGAGATGGAGTCTTATTCTGTTGTTACACAGGCTGGAGTGCACTGGCTTGATCACAGCTCATTGTAGCCTCAAATTCCTGGGCTTAAGCAATCCTCCATCTCAGCCTCCTAAGTAGCTAAAATTACAGGTGCATGCCACAATACCCAGCTGATTATTATTTTCTTTTTTTTGCAGAGAGAACGTCTCTATGTCGCCCAGGCTGGTCTCAAACTCCTGGGCTCAATCCTCTCACCTCAGCTTCCTAAAGTGCTGAGATTACAAGTGTGAGTCACCAAGCCTGGCCTAGTTTGTTTTGTTACTCCATTTTAGGTTTTCCCTTACAATTAATAAAGTTTTCCAAATTCTGCGTTTTGCAGATTGTATCCCTAGGTTATCTTAAAACATGAATTTCTTCTAAACTGGAGGTTTGATATAGTTGGACTGATATGCTTCAAGTCCAATTTTTTTGTCTCCATCTGAAGGCTCTGGGAGAAAAAAAAATTTCTTTTCTTTTTTTTTTTTTGAGACGGAGTTTCCCTCTTGTTACCCAGACTGGAGTGCAATGGCACAATCTCGGTTCACCGCAACCTCCGCCTTCTGGGTTCAAGCAATTCTCCTGCCTCAGCCTCCCGAGTAGCTGGGATTACAGGCACGGACAACCATGCTCAGCTAATTTTTGTATTTTTAGTGGAGATGGGGTTTCACCATGTTGACCGGGATGGTCTCCATCTCTTGACCTCGTGATCCACCCGCCTCGGCCTCCCAAAGTGCTGGGATTATAGACATGAGCCACCGCGCCCAACCCAAAATTTTTTTTTGAGATGGAGTCTTGCTCTGTAGCTCAGGCTGGAGTGCAGTAGTGCGATCTTGGCTCACTGCAACCTCCGCCTCCCGTGTTCAATTGATTCTCCTGCCTCAGCCTCCCTAGTAGCTGGGATTACAGGCATCTACCACCGTGCCTGGCTAATTTTTGTAGAGACGGGGTTTGTCCATGGTGGTCAGGCTGGTTTCGAACTCCCGACCTCAGGTGGTCTGCCTACCCCAGCCTCTCTAAGCACTGGGATTACAGGTGTGAGCCACTGCACCTGGTGAAAAAATATTTTTCTGTCAAGAATACTTTATACCTGGCATTCATATTGTTTCTCATTTAAAAAATTTTTTGGTCATTCCTTTTGTTGACTTTTTGAGGCCCTCCTTTGCCATACTGTTTTCATTCTTGTGTTCTTTACATTTTTGTATACAGTGTAACATATTGAGAAAAGAGGGGAGTCCTGTAGCCAGACTCTGAATTTGATTACTTGCTCTGCCCTTCAACTCTTTGAGTGACCTTGGACAGACTATCTAAATTTTCTGTGTCTCATTTTCCTCATCCATCAAACATGAGAGGTGCATTGGGTGGATTAAAATAATAAATACATGTAACACACTTTAGATAATATTTGGCATAAAGTGAGAGATCAGTAGATGTTAATTATTATTATTATTAGTTGGGGTTTTGTTTGTTTTTGGAGACAGTGTCTCCCTGTCGCTCAGGTTGGAGTGCAGTGGCACCATCAGAGCTCACTACAGGGGCTGGGTATTGTGGCTCACACCTCTAATTCCAGAACTTTGGGAGGCCAAGGTGGAAGATGGCTTGAGCCCAGGAGTTCGAGATCATCCTGGGCAAAATGGTGAGACCCCCATCTCTATGAAAACAAACTAACAAGAATTAGCCAGGCATGGTGGCCTGTGCCTATAGTCCCAGGACTCAGGAGGCAGAGATGGGAGGATCAATTGAGCCTGGGAGGTCAAGGCTGCAGCAATGAGCCAAGATGGCACCACTGCACTAAAAAACAAACAAACAAACAAACAAACAAAAACAAAAATAGCTCACTGAAGCTTTGAACTCCTTGGCTCAAAAATCCCCCTATCCCAGACTCCCAAATAGCTAGGATGATAGACATGAATCACTGCACTCAGACCAAATTTGCCTGTTTTTGAAGACCACTGTATTTTTACTTTCATTTAATAACATACAGACTGAATTCATGGTATGTGCTATGATCAGAATGTTTGTGTTTCCCCAAAATTTATATGTTAAAATTCTACCCCCCAAAGTGATGGTATTGGCTAGGTGTGGTGGCTCATGCCTGTAATCCCAACACTTTGGGAGGCCAAGGTGGGAGGATGGCTGGATCCCAGGAATTTGAGACCAGCTTGGGCAACATTCTGAGACCCCCATTTCTACAAAAAATACAAAAAACAAAAGGAATAAAAAAGTAATAAAAGAAACAACAACAAAGTGATGGTATGTAAAAGGCAAGGGCAGAGAAATGGTGAATGACTACTAATGGTTATTGAGCTTTTTTAGAAGATGATAAAAATGTTCTAAAATTGTGGAGATAATTGCACAACTCTGTAAAGAAACTAAAAACCATTGGATTCTACATCTTAAATGAGTGAACTATATGATATAGAAATTGTATATCAATTAAAAAAAATTTAGGTCCTAGTTACTTAGCAGGCCAAGGCAAGAGAATTGTTTGAGTCCAGGAGTGCAGAACTTTCATGCTTGATGGTTGTGTCTGTGAATTGCTACTGAACTCCAGCCCAGGCAACATAGCAAGACCCCATCTCTAAAAAATAAACAATTTTGGCTGGGCATGGTGACTTGTGCCTGTAATCCTAGCACTTTGGGAGGCCAAGCCAGGCGAATTACCTGAGGTCAGGAGTTCCAGACCAGCTTGGCTAACATGGTGAAATCTTGTTTCTACTAAAAAATACAAAAAAAATTTAGCTGGGCATGGTGGCGAATGCCTGTAATCCCAACTGCTTGGGAGGCTGACGCAGGAAAATCGCTTGAACCCGGAGGTGGAGATTGTAGTGAGCCAAGACTGCACCATTGCACTCCAGCCTGGGCAGTAAGAGCAAAACACTGTCTCAAAAAATAAATTAAATAAATAAATACATAAATAAATAAGCGACTTTTGGCCAGGTACAGTGGCTCATGCGTGTAATCTCAGTACTTTGGGAGGCTGAGGCAGGCAGATCACGAGGTCAGGAGATCCAGACCATCCTGGCCAACATAGTGAAACCCCGTCTCTACTAAAAATAAAAAAATTAGTCTGGGCGTGGTGGCATGTGCCTGTTATTCCAGCTACTTTGGAGGCTGAGGCAGGAGAATAGCTTGAACCTGGAAGGTGGAGGTTGCAGTGAGCCGAGATCACGCTACTGCACTCCAGTCTGGCAACAGAGCGAGACTCCGTCTCAAAAGCTTAACAAAAAACAAACAAACAAAAAAACCCATAATTTTTAATGTGTATGGTGGTGAGTGCCTGTAATCCCAGCTACTCAGGAGGCTGATGCAGAACTGCTTGAACCCGGGAGGTGGAGGGTGCAGTGAGCGAGATCGTGCCATGGCACTCCAGCCTGGGCAACAGAGCAAGGCTCTGTCTTGAAAAAAACAAAAAACATTTTTTTAAAATTGGAAAATGCAATTCAAAGAAAAAAGAGAGCCTTTGGGAGGTGATTAGATCATGAAGGCAGATCCCTCTAGAGTGACATTAACGTCCTTATAAAAGAGGCTGGAGGGAGTTCTTAGAACTGTGAGAAATAAATGTCTGTTGTGTGAAGCCACCCCATTTATGGTATTCTGATACACTAGCCTGAAGGGACTAACAATGGCCTCTCCCTTTCAAGGTGTGAGGCTGGTTGGTTTGTTTTTTCTAAAGCTGGAGAAAAGGTGTGCATGGAGAAGGTGTCATCTGTTACTTACTTTCTGTAGGAGGAAAATCCTGATGTGAGAAGTTAGGGAAAAGAGAAAATGGGCTCAAATTTAGCACTCCTGCGTTTGCTGAATGTGTCAGATATTTGAACGTTCGCTCAATCTTCT